CATGTTCGTGCGCTGCGCGCCCTCCAGCCGCTACACGCTGCTCTTCTCGCACGGCAATGCCGTGGACTTGGGCCAGATGTGTAGCTTCTACATCGGCCTGGGCTCGCGCATCAACTGCAACATCTTCTCCTATGATTACTCGGGCTACGGCGTGAGCTCCGGCAAGCCCTCTGAGAAGAACCTCTATGCCGACATCGACGCCGCATGGCAAGCGCTGCGCACCCGGTGAGCCCCAAGTTGCGGGTGGGGTGCGGGCTTGTGCTTCTGAATCGTGGCATTCGTTCGGGATCGCCAGCCCGCGGGATTATAGAGCTCAGACTTAGAGGGTCCTGTCTGCTTTTCACTGGTCGGCGCGGCCTGGCGTCTTTGTGGCTCGGGTTAAACGCACGTGGCCGCCGTGGGGGGTGCTAACGTCCGGGCAAAACCAACTTGGTTTGGATTGAGTTGTGTGATGAGCTGCTCTCAGACCCCGAAGGTCTGGTAGTGACCTTAGGGTTCTCAGTTCCCTGTGAAAGCTGGGGCAAGACGATGACCTCTGAAAGACTTTCCTAGTAGAAAGTATTCCCGGGGCGATGTCTGAACAGCTATTAAGGCAGGGGAGGGTCGGGTGTGGTGAGGACTTTGCCTCCTGGTGGGTCAGAGTAGCTGGCACTGAGAGATCAGGAAGTTAGCTGATGTTGGCACCTTCCCAAAGCCCCACCAGTAGCACAGGATGTCTTATAGGCCTGAGGGAATCTGTTGACCTTGAGTTAGCGTTCATAGAACTGGGGATTGTTTGTTGAGGGTCTTTTACATGCCGGGCACAAATTGTCATAGTTTGAGGACAGACCAGGCTGAAAAAAAAAGACGCTCGAGTTTTACTCTGAACTTAGACAAATGTGTGGTTTGTGGGAAAGTCAAGTGACCTGCCCTGTGCTTGTGACCTTTCCCACTTAATCCCTATAGCACAGGTAGCAACTATACCTGAGGTCCTGTCTCTTACAAGCTTGGATTTCTTTAGAGGAACGAGTCCCCAGAATAAGGACAATAGGCACTGTTGTTGTTAGAGACTTTTGTATAGTTCTTATGAAAAGTCTTATTTGCTGGGCTCAAGTACATGGCCAGTGTAGTGATTTTATTTCCATATGTGTTGCACATATGTTCATAAATTATCCCTTGGGTTTCTGGGGAAATGGCTTGTATAACAGAGAAGTACTTAGTATTTACTCTGTGTTGCTTGTTTAGATTCTTCTGAGGTCTTGGAGGAGATAGCCTCAATTGGATTATAGCTTTTGGGAATTGATATAGGTAGATGAGGCTACAGATGTCCTGATGGACTGGCTGAGAAGCCACAAGTAGTTACATGCCACCTGTTCAAGAAAGGGTTTCAAAAGTATGTGTCACAAGCAGGGAGTGGAGTGATGGTGTGTGATACGCCATAGCACTCCGGAGGCAGAGGCTGAAAGATTGCTGAAAGTTTGAGGCTAGCTCGAACTACGTGGTGAGTTCTAGGTTGGCCAGGGACATAGTTAGACCTTGCCTGGAAGAAGTATGTGGGCTAGTCAGATGGCTCAGTGAGTAGAGGCTGCTTTGCAGGGCAAACCTGGTAACCAGCCTTTCATCCGTGGAATCCAAAGGTGGAAGGAGAGAACTGGCTCTTCAAGGCTGGCCTGTTACTGTAGTAATTGTGCCCCCCCCACACACACCTTTCATATATACAAACACACAGTTTTTTTTTTCTTCACACAGTTATTTTTAAAAAGCACATGTTGAACAATCTTGAACCACTAGAATCTGTCATAGTGAAGGTATTAAAAATAAATTTTGGTACCACATGTTTGGAAAGTTATAAAAATTTTTACAGAGCATTCCTCTTATGTGGGCCCGTCTTTATTGAAATAAAAGCCTTTTATAGGGTTGACCCTTCACTCTGAGTATGTGTATGTGTCTGTCTTATCACATAGGTGAGGTGTAGTTGCCTTCTGCAGTCCATTGCATATGAGAAGCATTGTCTGGGGGTACATTAATTACCCCAGAATTACCTGGTGGTATCTCTGAATTTTGCTTGGTTTTATTTAATGCTATATCAGAACTCAGACCTAAAATAAGTGTGGTTTTTTGTTTGTTTTTAGTTTCTTAAAAAGCTGTTTTTGGAGACAGGGCCTTAAGAATCATATGTAGACTGGCCTCAAACTCACAGTGCAGCTGGGAATCACCATCACCTTCTGCTTCTGCTTCACAATTGTTGGAGTTACTGGTGTAACAGCAGCCCCTGGCTCCCTGAATCTTAGACTTTGAAGACAACTCACGAGTCCTCTTGTCCTGTGCTCTCCCAACCTTTAGACTGGCTGCCTACAGTAGGACACTGGTTTTTCCATCTAGATCATGCTTTCACAAACACATTGATCTGTGACTGCCTCTCTGAACCAAATGTTTCACAAAACATTCCCCCCTCCCCCAAGTGGGTGCTTTGCATAGCAGAGTGTGTTCTGTTTTATTTGACTTTAAAAAAAGAGTGCTGGGTGTGAAATGTTAAGAGTATTTCCCAGCGCCTGTGTGGGTACTGCTTTCATCCGCCCACCCCATTTTGACAGAAGGATAATCTCACATCCAACCAGCAGGTTTCCTGACTGATACTTTAGAGCTCTTCCATCCAGTTTTTTTGTAGTCATTGGATTTCTCAAAAAGTGTGAATCTGGCTTATTGTAATCTAGATGTCACCCAATTCTGGGGCTGATCAGGGCTCCTCTGTCACCTTCCTTTAGCCTAGATTGCTGCCTTTCCTGTCTTACTCTCTGTGGCCCTTTAGTAATATAGCCTGGGGTAAGCCCATTTCTTCCCTCCCCAGCTCTGTTGAGGTCATTGCCATGGAAGGATATCTTCCACTCCCAGCGCCAGTTTTTCTGGGCTGGTTCAGAACCCCTCTTCCAAACCCAAGGTCTTCTGTGAGTGGTTCTCCTACTGTGACTTCCTGGTTAATCATATTGCTCAGACACTGACTGGAGCACTCGCTGCCTCCCAAGTCGTCTGTCCTGGCCCGTGGATTATTCTCTGAGAGATAAGTTGTCTGAGTCAGAGCTAGGCAGCCCCAGAGTCCCACGCCCAGGACTGTACCCTTCCTGAGCTCATGGCTGTACCATTTGGGTACATTTTGAATGTACCCTTCATGTTAAGAGTATTGATCCTATTAGGAGATCCTTTGTGTCCCATCTTGTGGCTCATGTGTTGAAGGCCTGGTCCCCAGTACATTGTTCAGAAGTAGAGCTTTGGGAGAAGTAATGGGATCTTAAAGGCCCGACTTATCCAACAAGTTAATCTGTTGATAGCTCTTAGTCAAATGAACTATTGGGAGGTGGGGAATCCAGAAGCAGAGCCTGATCAGAGGAATTGATTCACCATTGTGCTTTTGAAGGTTATGGCTTGCCCTGGCCTCTTCCTTTCTTCTACCTGTTTCCTGGCTGCCATGGGAGTTGTAGTGGGTGGGTGGGAACAGTTCTCCTCTCTCATGCCTTCCTAATATTCTGCCTTGTCACAGGCTTTTAAAAGCAGCATAGCCAGCTGAACTTGGATGGACTGAAGGCTTTGAAACTGTGAGCTAAAGTAAATCCACCCTGAAAGTAGTGTACTCCAGTATCTTGTCACAGAAACGAAAGTGACTAACACACTTTGCAACTAGCACTCAGTCCTTGAGTTTGTGTGGTATTGTCACAGCTGCTGTTTAATTGAAAGTTCCTTGAGGGAAGGACCTGACTTCTCTATTCCCAGAAATTAGCACTGGGCCTTAAAATGTAGATCCTGGTTAAATATTTGTTCAGGGTGTTTCATTTGTACAATGAGTTGAGTGCCCTCTTGATGATGGGCAGTTGGTGCCTCTGAGTTGCAGAGCTGGATCTTATTTTACCTTCAGAGCTTAGTATCTGTGGGTCTAACTGTCCACCAGAAAAGGAAGGGTAGGTGTCCAAATGTATTGGCTTGTGGTCTCAGCCACTTTCAAGCTGTTCTTGTGGCATTGTGGTGTCTGTGTTGAACAAAAGAATTCTCATTCCTCACTTATACTCCGTTTTCATGCATTACCTGTGTGCAGCTCCTATGTGTTATTGGGATATTAACAGAGAACTGGAGCTCTTCCCAGCATGCAGATCCACGTGCATGGATAAAGGCAGGAAATCCCCTTTAAAAAAAAAAAAATGGGTACAGAGGCAGAAAGGTTGGTTTACTATTTGGGTTATAGGTTGTTGTTTAAGGATTTTAACATTTTTTGAAAAAAAGTGTTGGAGAGAAGGTAGAGTTTGAAGGAGCTAGAAAGTGTGACCTAGTGTGGAAGAAGAAAGTTGGCATGTGGCCATAGGGAGTAGCCACTGACTTGAGCCTGATGGAGAGCACCAGGAATGCATCCTGTGGTGGACATTACAAGTGTGCTATGAATGGAAAGCAGCTGCAGGCTTTGAAGCATTTGTAGAGAGGACACTGGAAAGCATGGGAGCTTGTTGGAGCCTGTGTGTTGCTTGAGTTGGGGGAGAAAGTGGCTGATGTGTGCAGGACAAGGTGAGGGTAGGTGGGTCTAGGCCCTATGCATGCTATAAGGAAACATCTTTGGCAAGGGCAATTGTGTGCACACTGTAGATGTTGTGTGAATGAGCCTAAATAAGCAACACCCAAGGATGAGGTGTAAAGTAGGCAGAGTATTTTAGCTGAATGTTCTGAGAATCTAGAGACACAGATACTGGGGCATTCATGATTTGGTTTGTTAGTGGCATTTACTGATGTCATCCACAGAAGTCACCTCTGAGCCTTCTATTTGATGTGGGTGGCAAGGACAGTGAAGGAGAAAGGCATTTGGTAACAGAGAAAGCAGATGCAGAGAGGGGAGATGAGAAGGAGCTTTTATGCCTTGGTTCAAAAGGCAAATTAACAAAAAAAAGACCCAATATTTCATTCAGTCAGCAAACCATTTATTAGCCATTGTCTGTCTTTTTCTCGCTCTGACAACTGAATTTAGAAGCAGCCAAACATGTATCCACATGCTTTTTGGTCACTTTAATGTCTGTTATTCACAGGAACTGTGATTTGGGAAATCCTGTGACAGTCAAGCTGTGGTAGCATAGGTGGTGGGGGCTTAAAATGCACCTTCCATTGCTTTTGAATAGTATTTAAAATTGGCACTCACAAGGTGTAATTGTCCTTAGGACAATTCTGAGCATGGTGAAGTTGGTAGTGTAACTTCTTTGTTCTCAGAAGGAATACTG